ACCAGGGACAGGGCAGTGCTGGGCATATTCTAATATCAGGGTTTTTTGCATTGTATTCTATGGACATCAGACAAGGTAAGAACTATGCAAGAAGATCCTGGTCATATAAAACAGTCCAAGAAAAGCAGGCAAGGTGTGTAGCATTTGGTCAAGGTAAATGGTAGGTGTGTCATGAGTGGAGCCGGCGGGAGCTGGGGTCAGACTAGATGGCCCAGGAGACCCCTTCTCTGTTTCTCTGTTTCTAAATAGGACAGGCACAAGGAGCTAAGTGAAGGTGGAAGCCCCTTAGGCAAGGAGGAGCTGCAGCAGGAAAATGGATCCTTCATTCAGAGTGGGCTTTTCTGGATTTATTTACCGTGTAGCATGTCATACATGGGCTTGTGATATATATTAGAACTTAAACAAGTTAAGATCACATTGAAAATATAAATGTTGAAAAGACCTCTATTCAAACTTCAGTGTCTAGGCCATCTAACCATTGAAGCGCAGCATTGTTTGTACAGAAAAAGGCAAAAAGGCTTTTCTGGACACATAGGAAGATGTTGTCTCAGCAGCTAGCTACAATCAGTGGAAGTTTTAGCTAGGCAGCTACATCTGTTGTGTGATTAACTTCGCCCCTCTGGAGGTGGTGGGCCCTTGGCTGATTTTGTATTCTCAGACATCTGCAAGGCTGGGGAGGTGGAGGTTCTCTGCAAGAGGTTCCTCACAAGAGGAAAAAACTGGGCTATAAATGCAACGTAATACTTGCAGCAGCAACAACGGATGCCCAGAGAGCTTCAGCTATTGGACAGCACAGAAATAAAATTATGAATAATAAACTATCTCTGTTGATGCCAGTGTATAATTGTTAAAAGTATGCATGCATTTCTTCCAAATCGAAGCACATATATTTAAAAAACAGGGGTACCCAAAAACACCAAGAAGTGAACCTCTTTTTGCGCACCATTTAAAAACCTTTAGTGGCACCATCAGTTAAAGGATGTTGAAGTCAGTTCCACCAGTGAAATAGACTTCAAGTCATGCACATTATCTGGGCTGTTTTTCCCAACCTTTTTAGGAACCAGGGAATTTCTGGCTGTGCATGTACCCGTGACTTTCTGAGTCCTACAGGGATACCTTAGCATGGAGGATTTTTCCTTTGGGCACCCCCACCCCACCCCACCCCTGTCTCTGCTGCCCCCTTTGTTGTGTCTGAGGCATCAGCTGCCCCTAGGAAAGGGGACCTCACCTCACCATGTCGTACCTTTTGCAATCTGCCGTAAGAGTTAAAGCCGGTTCTCCAGGGGCAAAGGCAGGGAGAAGCCCTAATTCATCATCCATCCATTAGCATTTCCAGACAAATCTTCTTTACAAAGAAAAAAATGCAAATTGGCTGCCCAAGAAAGGAAAACATAGATCGGAGAGAGAACATAGACGGGACCCTGGAGCCAGACATAAATTTGGTATTTAATATTTCAAGTGAAACTCTCAGCACCAATTAACTTTGCCCCCCACCCCACCCCCGTTTTAAGGAAATTGCTGGCTAAATCAGCCAGCTCTCTAATTATCCAACTGAATGACGGAAATTTTTAGTGTAATTAAATAAACAGCCTCCCTTCCTCCTTCTCCTTTCCCCTGTTCAGCCGCCTTCATCTGGAGCCATTCTATAACTAGGAAGTAGGTGGAACTGGAAGGCAAACTTCGAAAGCCAAGACATTCTCCCAGAATTTCCCCAACCTGGAGAATTTTCTCCAACCTGAAGCTCTGCAGGTGCCTAGGACTACAACTCCCATTAATCCCAGCTAGAAAGGCTAAGGTTGATGGGGGTTATGATACAGAGCACCCGGAAGGCACCAACCCAGGGAAGTCTGTCTTGGAGCCTGGTGTTTTGCTTCGGACTATTATGCATCTGAGACCCTTTGACAACCAACCCACACTGTAGGGCACAGCACCCCCTTAACAAAGGAGTGCTTTTGGTAGTTCTGAGGAGCAGTTGTGAACTTCCCAAAGAGTAAAGTAGATAGTAATAATTAGTGGGCATGCTCTGATCCAGTATGCAATGGGGAGAGAGGCTTGCCCCTGGCGTCCTTGATCTCCCCATCAGGTTTGTAACTGAGTTGCAGAACCAAAAAGCTCCCATCCTAGCAGAGGTTGTGTGTAAGTGGGCTTGGGCTGAGAACACGGGTGTGTCCTGGAGACAGTCCTGAGGTCCAGAATGAGAGGTCTGCATTCGCCCCCCCCAAACCTTGGCCTCATCTGGGACATTGATCTGGGCATTAAGTTTGCCATGGCTTTCTTCTGTACAACAGCCAGCAAAGGGCTGGTGGTGCGATCACCGATGATTTGGGGCCGGTGTGCAGAGGCTAGCACAGCCCAATCCACAGGTGAGTGAGGCCAAAGTGAAAGGGGCGGGGTCAAAAGACCAGGCTATTCCACTTCAAGCTCTTACTGACTACAACCAAGGCTTGAAGGCAGCGTTTCAAGCCTTTTAGGATGGGAAGATGTGCGCTTAGTCTGCGGGACTGCTCAATGATCATAGGGTCATGGGAAATTGCTGGGGGCTTGGGGAGAATTTGATCTCTGCGCCTGAGCTTGTTCTCTGTCGATTTAAATTCTGCACCATGCAACACAGCATTGTAAATATTGCCCTGGACTATATTTTGCAATGAGCACATCATGTGAAAGGCCAGGCTAGATGAATCACAAGTCGGAATTAAGATTGCTGGGAGAAATATCAACAACCTCAGATACACAGACAATACCACTCTAATGGCAGAAAGTGAAGAGGAACTAAAGAGCCTCTTGATGCAGGTGAAAGAGGAGAATGCAAAAGTTGGCTTGAAACTCAGCATTAAGACAACTAAGATCATGGCATCTGGTTCTCTCACTTCCTGGCAAATAGATGGGGAAGAAATGGAGGTAGTGACAGGTTTTATTTTCTTGGACTCCAAGATCACCGCAGACGGGGACTGCAGCCAAGAAATTAAAAGACGCTTGCTCCTTGGGAGGAAAGCTATGGCAAATCTAGACAGCATACTAAAAAGCAGAGACATCACCCTGCCAACAAAAGTGCGTATAGTCAAGGCTATGGTTTTCCCAGTTGCAATGTATGCCATAAGGAAGGCTGAGCGCCGAAGAATTGAGGCCTTTGAATTTGGTGCTGGTGCAGACTCCTGTGAGTCCCTTGGACCACAAGGCGATCAAACCGGTCAGTCCTAGAGGAGATCAACCCTGACTGCTCTTTAGAAGGCCAGATCCTGAAGATGAAACTCAAATGCTTTGGCCACCTAATGAGAAGGAAGGACTCCCTGGAGAAGAGACTGATGCTGGGAACAATAGATGGCAAAAGGAGAAAGGGGCAGCAGAGGATGAGGTGGCTGGATGGGGTCCCTGGGGCAGTGGGTGTGGGCTTGGGTGGACTCCAAGGACAGGAAGGCCTGGAAGAAGGCTGTCCATGGGGTCGCAATGGGTGGGGCATGATTTTGTGACTAAACAAAAAAATTTTTGCAATGCAAAGTTTCCCCTGGCTTGGGAGTGCCCTAGCCTGATGGAGGACATGACTGGGCCACCCAGGGAGCTCTATGCCACGGCCGTCCCAGAAAGCCCCTGGTGCCGCACCCACAGGTGGAACAAGGCAGCTGGCACCAGCCTTGGCTAGGGCAGATGTGGGCTTGCTATACCGAAGTCGGCGTGCCATCAGAAGTCGCCCTGCCCTGGAAAGGTTACCTGCTCCGGGTCTGGTTGGACAACAGAGAAGCACCAGGAGAGGAGGAAAGCGGTGGCCTGCCCACGTTCCGTGGGAACAAGGAGCCACGCGCCAAGCGTGTAGTTCTCTGGTCAGAGTTTTCTTCAGCAGGGCGAGATGCGCTGCATTGCTATGCAGACGACGGGGATCAGATCTAGTTGTGCATCTGTGCAACCAGTTAGCATGTACAAATGGTTTGCCAATTCATATTTGGTGATGAATGTCCTCTTGTTTATTTTTTATTTTTTGTCTGATAAGAAGCAGCTGTTCTAGTTGCTACCCCAGGGGATAATAATATTAAACTTCTTTGCATAATTTTTGAAGCCATCCCTAGTTTGCGTGATCCCTGGAGAAATGAAGCCACGTGGGCTTTTTTCGTATCCTTATGCATGCCCATTGTGCTTTGCACAATTGTGCTTTGCACAATTCGTTTGCTACAATTAACCCTCTTCCGTAACGGCACGGAAGGCCGGTGCAGTGTGGTGGTGTGGTCCTCAGCCAAACCTACCTACCTCTCAGGGTTGTTGTGGCAAGGGTAAAACGGAGCTATGTAAGCCACCTCGGGTTCCACCCAAGAGGAAAAAAAGAAGGGGCAGAGATGCAACGTGAAGTTGGGCTGCCGTGTGCGAGGCGAGTGGTGAGGGTGGCTCCCAACCGGCCCAGAACCGCACAACAAGCCACAGCTTCTGGGGCGGTTTGGGAACCGTTCGTGCCGTTCACCTCATGCCTTCATTTTAAGGCCATGCAAGCCCAGCCAGCGAACCCTGCAAAAGCTGCGAAGAGTTCGGGTGCCTGGGTTGTGTGTGTTCAGTCCAGCTGATTTCAGGTGGCCGGAAGCACAATCCGCTTAGTCTGTTTCCAATCCACTGGCCCGAATGCCCGTTCTCTTTTACAGTCCCTCTCAATCTCTCTCTCTCTTTCTCTCCCTGGTCTTGTCACATATGGACTCCTCCATCCTTCTGCCTTGTGAAGATCCTGGTGAGTAAAAATATTCCTCACAGCCACCCCGAAAAGTGTTTGTTCACCTGGAGAGCGGATGCCCCCCTTCCTTCCCTCTGCACACCCACCCGTGCAGTTTCAGCTTTCCTGTTCTACTTATACACTGCGTTAATTCTATGGAAGCAAACCGTGGAGAGGCGGGAAATGCCTGGAATGGCTCCGCGGGACAGTTGTGCTCTCACAGTCTGGCTTCCATTGTCTAAACTTGGAGTGAGCTCATTGTTACCCCCAGATGGTACTATATATAGAGGGACAATAGTCTTTGTGTGGGTTGGTGAGCCAGTTGGCAGAGAAGGTGAAGAAAGACAACATGGTAAGCTTGCTTGCTTGCTTGCTTGCTTGCTTGCTTGCTTGCTTGCCTGCCTTCCTTCCTTCCTTCCTTCCTTCCTTCCTTCCTTCCTTCCTTCCTTCCTCTCAAACGTATAAACAGACATCTAGGGAGGGTCCTGCTTAGCAGCTCCATTTGTATTTAATGGATTGTCTGGCATCATTCGTTCTGTCTTCTGCTTGTTAATAGATACAGATTTTTAAAATTTACTCAGAAAAGTACCCCCATCCATCAGAATATAGGGAAGGTTTGCTAGTATGTAACATTTTGTGTATTTTCTTGGTTAATCATAAACTCAATGAGCAAAACACGCATGTGTGCCAGAAAGATTGCTGCTCCACAAAGGCTGAAGAGAGGTCAGAGTTAGGTAAAACGTTGCACGTGTGGTTTTTCAAAATCATTTTTTGAAAAAATACAGTTTAAAGATGCAGCATTGTTACTTGACTCCCTTAATTTCGCATGACCAATGGTGTACAGGTCTAAAAGCTTAGACAAATGGTCCACAAGTCCATGCAATTTTGAAAGGCTGGTCATCCCCAGATTCCGTAGGGTAGATTCATAGAAATTCCAGGTCATTTTGATCTGCTAGGGTTCCCTCCATGTCTACAAACAACGCACACACAATTTTAACAATCAAGAATAAGATACCTTGGATGTTTTGGAAAATTAAGGGTGCCTCCCTCACTAATTCAGGAGTAAGTCCCTTTACATGCCACAACACTTACTTTTGAATTGGCATGAGAAAGCTGCAGCTCCTCCCACGTCCAGAAACACCAAGAGGACGATGTGGCTGGAATTCTCTCTACCTGGTCACTAAGAGGGGAATTTCTGCTGCTTGGCCTTGCTTGGCTCAACGTTTGCAGAGGCACTCGGGCGAACGCCAACAGCTTTGTGCTTTTACAGCATGTGCTTTTACTAATATGTAACTCTAACCTTATGCCCCTTTAAGGGCTCGCAACTCCTGTGGAATGCTCTGATGGTCGCTGCAGCTGGGTGGGAGTTCTTGACCTGCCTAAACAAGCGTCGGGTTGTGCCTAAACTTACTGGGCTACCTGCATTTTAGTTCCGGCCACGTGTCCGGCCTCAGCATCCCTTATGGTGAAATGGCCTCCTTTCCTTCCTGCCTTCCTGCCTTCCTTCCTTCTCTCTGCATTAGCCACAGCTTTGGTCTAGAACTCAGACTCAAAGGGGCACCATGGACCAAGACAAGCAGCAGGGGTCACTTTTGGGGAAATTCATTGCTGGAAAGAAAGTGCATAGATTTGCATGCAATATCGGTGTGCTATGTAATGGCAGCATTTCAATAGCACATTGGCCAGCTTTTTCTAGGTGACCTGCACGCCTCGCTTTGTCTGCTGCCCAGGTACTCCAAGGCCCATCTGCCTGCTCTACCTTCTCTAGGTCCTTTATCTTCAGCCCTTTGGATAGAGAACATGCTCAGGAGGAGGACTGCCCCTTGTGAAGTGGGATTCAGGCCCACGCTGCTGACCATGTGATCTTCTCAGACCTTGGGCCCGGCCAGGTTCTCCTCCATTAGAAGGCCCTGGCTTTGCTCTTTCTCTCCCCACCCCCAGTCCCGATCTCTCTCTCTCTCTCTCTCTGCCCATCCTTGCCTTCCCTTTTCTCTCCCCCTTTCTAGCTTATAACCTTGCCTCTTGCCCTCTCTCTCCGCCTGCCTCCCTGTGCCCCCTTTCCTCCTAGCCTTGCTGCTTCTTTCCCCATCTTTAAGTACTTTAACCTCGCTTGTGACAAGCCAGTCATTTTGAAATAGTCATCGCGGGGGCTTTTTAGTGGTGGTGCCCGCTGCAGTTTCTCAAATTGCCAAATGGGCCAACAGGAGAGAAAAAAAGAAGATTGGGGCCCCTATCTTTGTGCTTGCAGTGCACTGAGAGGGTAAAGGGGGCCTTTAAATGGCTTCTCTCTACACCCCTTTGTTTGTTAAAAAAATAAAAAGTCATATACAATGTGGGGGTAGCCTGGGGGGACTGCAGCGGCTGCAGTGGGGGCTACATGTCACTCGCCCTTGCTGAATTCTCCCCATGGCTGGTTAGACCACGGCACCCATCCTACTTCCAAAAGCCTCTGAGCGTTCTGGCAAGAATGACCCAGGCAGCCCGCTTGGCCTGGAGGTGGAGTGTGAAGCAGTGGGGAAAGGGGGGGGGAACTGGGGGCGGCCCACCCCCACCCCTGCTCTGAGGCCCCCAACAGATCGTCCCCAAGGGAAGGCACCCTTCCCCAAGAAAATGGTTCCCACCCAATCAAGGGGACAGGAAGGGCTCTGCCAAACCGAGGGGGGGGGGGTCAAACATGTGCAGTGCATGTTCCTTGTGAATTGGGCATTCTGTTTGGAGGAGTGTTTGGTGCCTATGAAGTGGTGTTAAACCTCCAAACTTCCCAGGGCCGCTTCGACAGTCCCCTGCAGAGGGGAACGGAAATGGCTGCCCCATGGGCTTCCGGCCCCCACCCGAGCTGGCTTTGGCCACGCAGGTGCGTCCTGGCCTGCGAGGGCAGCCCTTAGCCCTCCTGCGCTGTGTGTCTGGGGTCTCAACTCGCACTTTGAGGCAGCAAAGAACCAGTCTGGGCTCCTTTCCACGTCGAAGCCTGCCAGGCATCTGAAACATGCTGCGGAGGCTCCACCCTGCCTCCTCTTCTCTCCTCTGGGCCAGGGGGAGTGCTTGGAACCAGAAAGATCAAAGAGGAAAGGGGAAAACGCACACATCTGCATAGGTTAGTCTGCACAGGTTCTGAAGTCTCTCTGCACGTCCTTAAAGGACCCCGTCTCCTAAGGACATCCATCTTTTAACTAGGGATGCATGGGGAGGGGAGAAGATTGCAGAGAAAGAAGATAAAATGCAACTTAGGCAAAAAGATTGGGGATGGGGAGGAATTGGGAATTTTATTTTATTTATTCATTCATTCAAACGTTTAGTTTACTTTTACATCCGCTGGCGTCCCGGGATGGTTTACAACAAGCAACAGATAAAATGGCACAGCATCCAGTAAATCAAGAATATAAAACCACATTAAAACCAATTAAACATTCAAATAACGCGAAAATAAAAGGGTTTTCGCCTGGCGCCGAAAAGAAAAAAGCGTTGGCACCAGTTGAACCTCTCTGGAGAGTGTATACCATAATCAGGGCACCACCGCAGAGAAGGCCCTCCTCCGGGTAGCCACCCTCCTACTCTCCTTCAAGCAGGACTCCCGGAGCAGGGCCTCCGCCTCCGATCCCAAGGGGCGGGGGGCACATAGGGAAGGAGGCGCTCCTTCGGGTATCCCGGACCCCAGCCATTTAGGGCCTTATAGGTCATCACCTTAAACTGGGCCTGGCCTCCAATTGCCAGCCAGTGTAAGCGATAAAGGACCGGCGTTTCAACATAACCTGGGCTGGGTGCAGCCTGGCGGCTTTCCTGCCGCAGCTCGCATGGGCTCCCCGCACTCCGTGGGACCCTCAGTGAGTCACGACGAATTTAAGCAGCCCTGATGCCTAACTCAAAATCCTGTTGACGGTCCTGCTTTAAGTACTGATGGATCTGTTTTACACATGTCTGTGTCTGATTCCATCATCGTCACAGAAATAGTGATAATAATTCCTCATGCTTTAGGAAATATTTTTCCAAAGCACCCAGGGTCTCAACAAAGCATGTGGTGAATGTAAAATAGTGGAGGGGGGGGCAACCCCCCCAACCCACATAAGGATGGTCATATTCTAAATGAAAGCAATCTGAGGATGTCTATACAGAAGGAAGTGATTGCTCTTTATTAATTAGAGAGAAAAGTGCATGTAATTATGCTAAATGAACTCTGCAGGGAAGCCTTCTACCCTCCCACCATCCCCAGCTCTCACGCTTTACAACGTCTTAAAGGCTTTATAAATATTACTGTGGTTTTATAGCATGACGTTTCAATTCTTCTGTAGCACCACTTTCAAAGGATTACTGGAGACAAAAACATGGTTGTCAGAAATAAGGCAACACTCATTACAAGTTGCAGAAGTTCAGCATACAGAGCGAAGGGGGAGAGGGGGAATGTTTGCAGGCCACACAAATGGTGCCCCGCAAGATTTCAGATCTTGGGAAAAGCCGCCGACCAGCATCTCCTGGAGGGCCCTTCTCTGGAAGGTCTGGAAAGACCTGGACTGCATCCATTCCACTCCACTTAAGCCCCAGAGGGGTGTGTGGATTTCACAATGGATCCCAACACTCCAAGATCATCTGGCCAGGAAAGATCAGGGACACCCGTGCCGGTGGGCCACCTCACCTGTGCCAGCCACTATTTTGAGCTTTATGGGAACTCTCTGTGGCGCTGAACCCCTTTGCCAGGATAGGTTCACTGCTATACTGTGTAAAGCAAAAGCTGCAATGGATGAGGAAGGCCACCAACAAAGCAGTCACCAGTCTCCCTGTGTTTTGTTGGCCGTTGGGATATGGAAAGCTGGACTCCGCGGCTCTTTGGCCCCATTACTACTGTGCTGCTGAATTCGATTTTGATGAAACCCTTACATAGTTCTCATCCTCTCCATCTTATCCTCACAACAACAACCCTGTGAGGCAGGTTAGGCTGAGAGTCTGTGAATGGCCCAAAGTCACCCACTGAACTCCATGGCTGAGTGAGGACTCAAACCCAGATCTCCTGCATCCCAATCTGACGCCCTTAGCGGATTGTCTATGGATGCCATTAAAAGCTGTTCTTTCAGCACTCTGTAGAATTTAGCAATCTGGGGGACGAAAGCAGCTCCAGAATTTTGGTGGCTGCCCACCCAATTTTAGAACACAGCTTATTTTCTTGGCATTTCCTTCCATAAGGCACTCCGTTTCTTTCTTCCTCACAAAGCAAGCATGGTTTCTATTACACTGTGTTATTTATTACGTTGTGCTCTTTTTTATTTGTTGCTTTTACTGTAAACCGTTCAGAGAGTCTTTTGGCTTATGTGGATGGTATATAAAACTTTTAATCAATAGATAAGTGATGGTCCTTTTTGTGCA